TTCAGCAGGCCAATTCGCTGGATCATGGCCTTGCACGGGGACCTGGTTGTGCCATTCTGTTTTGCAGGGCTTTCAAGGTATGATTACTTGGATACTTTCTCTTCTGCTTCTCCTCTCCCCATGACTCCTGCTGGATATATTTGTCACAGAGTGTAACTACAGCCATTCCAATTGTCCATATTTACAACCTTCAAACTTCTAATTCTTCTCTAAATCTCGAGGATCACCAGAAAGACAGTACAATTTGTGAAATGTTTAGAAATATAAGGCATTAATGTTGCACTTTATGTTGTCTTCAAATGCAGTGGAAATGTATCATTCGGACTTCGCAATACTGCTTGTGCAACACTAGTGGTAAGAATTTAATGTTCACGCTCTTGTACATTTAATCCCATGCTTTAGATACAGATTTGTGATCTTCAAAATCGTGGCAGGTAAAAAGCGCAGAATCTTATGAAGAAACAATGAGGAGTGCTGGAATCAATATTAATATTGAGGCATGTTATTAATATATTCTACTCTATCTGCTAGTTCTGAAAATTTTCTTATTACTTTAAGCTGAGTGACAGGTATGTTCTAGATTTGTAGAAATGGCTACTTCTAGACGTTTATTGAGTTACCATGATTTTACAGGAAAGGAAAAAAAGAATCATTCAGCAGTCAAATGCACTAGCAAAAAGTGTGAATGGTTGCACTGTTGTCCAGGAGAGCTTACTTAATGAGGTAATTGATTGTTTTCTCAGTGGTATTCTCTGCCATACAATACCAAGAAGTTAAACTAATTGACGGTGTTCTCCAGGTCGCAAATCTCGTTGAGACTCCGGTACCAATACTTGGAAAGTTTGAAGAATCATTCTTAGAACTTCCAGAAAACCTATTAACTATAGTAAGTTCTTTGGAAGCTGGGATCGATTATTTAGACTTTGTTGACATGTCTCACGGAGTAAACCTCTAATAATATCTGTTTACTTGCCTGTGATTCTGTTGAAAGATTTTCATCTAATTCCCAAAGGCATTATATGACTTGCTCCATATTACTTCCACGCATATGGTCAGCATAAATCTTAATGCTACTTGCTCCACATCATCTTTCCAGGTTATGCAGAAGCACCAAAAGTATTTCGCTGTTACCGATGAAAGTGGAAAGCTGCTGCCTTACTTTATTGCTGTACACTTCAATCCATGCATTTTGTTCTTTTATATGACTTCATCTTGTCTTAAAACTGTGGAAGAATTGGATTTCAGTAACTTATCAGGTTGAATGCTGTTTTGTTTAGGTTGCAAATGGTACAATAAACGAGGAAGTGGTGAAAAAAGGAAATGAAGCTGTCCTCAGGTCGAGATGTGGCATAAGTGACTAAATCTAATTCGTTTGATCAGTGGCTGCTTTTGGCTGTGTAGTGACCTTATTTTTATTGTTTCCAAGTCTTTAAAGACATTAAAGAAACCGAGGGTTATATTTAACTCTTGCAGAGCACGATATGAGGATGCAAAATTTTTCTATGAGATGGACACAAGTAAGAGGTTTGCTGAGTTCCGGGATCAGTTAAAGGGAATTGTTTTCCATGTAAGCTTTTCCATCCTTATACATATTCTACAGAATAGGCATGTAGCGCTAGTCATAATTTGCTGGGTGTTCAGTAGTTTTTCTGATATACCCCTGTATTATGTTTTTAGTTGCTTCATTTTCTTTTATGAGGAAGTAAGTCCTATATCAATCATTCTCTTCTCATCCATTCACATGTGAACTAAAAGGAGAAGCTTGGGACAATGTTGGATAAGATGATCCGTCTGGAAAAGATGGTAACTAAGTTAAGTTTGGCCTTGGAAGTTGGTGAAGATACACTTTCAATTGTGGAGAATGCTGCCTCACTTGCTCTGTCAGACCTTGCAACTGCTGTTGTTACAGAATTTACTTCACTCTCAGGAATTATGGGTCGTCATTATGCACTCAGAGACGGCTATTCAGAGCAGGTAGTGGATTGTTCAGAATGTAAATTTGTCTGTGTCTATGAGGACATCCTGGCTCATTGCAAATTCAGGTTCATGGACTTTAGCTTCTACACTATATGCGCTAATATTTATGTCATCCTTATTCATGTGGCTGCAGATTGCGGAGGCCTTGCTCGAAATTACACTTCCTAGATTTTCTGGAGATATCCTTCCAAAAACAAATGCAGGAATGGTTCTGGCAATAGCTGATAGGTAATTTGCGAGCCTAGGTTTTGGTGTCCTTCTGCTTTTATAATGTCAAATGGTTCATCTCATGCACCGAAAGACCTGTATGCTGGAATGGTTTCAAACGCTAAATTGCATTTGCTGCTGACTTGATATTTATGTTTCATTGTCAATCATGTATATGCTCAAGTTGCTTGTATGGTATCTACAACTGCAGATTGGATAGCCTCGTAGGCCTATTTGCTGCTGGTTGCCAACCAAGTTCGACCAATGATCCTTTTGGACTTCGGAGAATATCTTATGGCTTAGTAAGTAGATGGCTATTCTCTCTTCAAGAAAAGCCAATGTAAATTTATCGTTTTATCAGGTCATGAATTACTGGATATTGGGTGATGCTTTCAATGTCACAGGTCCAGATTTTGGTTGAAAAGGATAAAAATCTCAACTTCAAGCATGCCGTAGAACTTGCAGCTAGTGTACAGCCGATTAATGTTGAGGCTGGCATTCTAGAAGATGTGAGAATTTAGTACTTCTCTCCATTGCTATCGATTTTGTTTTACCTCTCAAACCCAAATTCTATTTACTAAAACCACCACAGATGTGGCAATCTATGGTCTCTGGTATTTGTCTCTTATAAGTGTATCAATTTTCCATTGCTACACATCATGAAATCTCTTTTCATGTATACCGGAATACCGATATTTTTACTTTGTTTGCTGCTGTTGATATTCTCTTTTTATTTCTAGGTGTATCAATTTGTGTCTCGAAGGCTAGAGCAGCTTCTGGTATGTGTGGCTTTCATGTCACGTAGCTTTGCTTATAAATATTTATCTGCAAAATTTTTGGCGTTCTTGAAGTTGAAGCACCAATCATGGCATTTAAGTAGGTGATGTGGGAAACAACGTTATAAACTTTGGTGCAGGTTGACAAGGGAGTAAGCCCTGAAGTAGTCCGGTCTGTCTTGGCAGAGCGTGGAAACTGGCCTTGTCTGGCTGCACGTACCGCATACAAGGTAAGCGACCTATTTTGTGGTTCCTAACTGATCAAATATGGAGATCGTGAACATTTCATGAACATATTGGGCATCCTCTCTCATAAGCTGTTTTTTATGGCAATTAGTTAAAGCCCCTTTCCAATTTTGTATGGGGCTAAGTCCTATACCAAAACTTGTGTTGCCAAGAGGAAGGCCTGCATAACTGACTAAGGCCACCTTGTGTGGGGACATCTGTCTTAGAAACGTGGTGGTGACTTGAGAGAAATATGGGTTTGATTGATGAACCATTTTTTTCTGGGAACCCTACCCTTGCAAAATAGATTTGAAGGGACAACTTTACCTATGGGCTTATATAGCAATCATCTGGTTTGCATTTGCCTTGTGCCGACTGAAGTAAAAAGCTCATGATTAGCCTTCCCAACCCTTGTAATAATATTGTGACCACCAAGGCTGACCTGTTAATCTCTCTCTTCTGTTTGTTGTCTTGATTACTTGCAGATGGAACATCTGTACAAAGGTGAGATTTTTCCGAAGGTTGTAGAAGCATATTCTCGTCCCACAAGAATTGTGCGTGGGAAAGATGTGGATGTCGGAGTTGAGGTACTTTCAGGTTTTTCCTTGAATAGAAAAGTGAACGCGCAAGAATCAATCATTTCTAAATTTTGACCCCTTTAGACGTGATGCCTGAAGAAAAAAGGTCTGACTATAAGGGAAGTCCGAAATTCCTCTTTTGTACAGCTGTCAAATGCGAGGGTGTGTTAGAGAGATGATGAATTCCTGAACAATGGGCAATCATAGTGAGATGTTTTCCCCTAAAGGAGATTATTGTTCTAACAAATGAAATGGAATGCAAACAGGTGGACGAGTCGGCATTTGCGACAGAAGAAGAGAGAGCCTTGTGGAGCACCTACATCTCCATCAGAGACAAAATTCACACCGGTAAATTGGGCCGCTGTTCTATTAGATTTGGAAATAGTTTCAGTTTTCATTTTTGCTTTTCTGGGTTACTTCACTACCAAGTTTACCTAATTGCAGGCATCGAGATTGATGACTTCTCCGAGATTTCCTCACAGCTGCTGGACCCGCTCGAGAATTTCTTCAACAATGTCTTCGTGATGGTGGTAAGTCGCTGTTTAGAGATAACAATGTGACGTGTTAATCCAAACAAAATAACCGGCAAAAATAAAAGAAAATTTTGGTGTAATAACGAGCTCTCACAGTTTTGTCTGGGGATCTGAATAACGCAGGAAGAAGAGAGAATAAGAAACAATAGGCTGGCTCTTCTGAAGAAGATTGCTGATCTCCCGAGAGGAATTGCCGACCTCTCATTTTTGCCTGGTTTCTAATATCTTCGTTTCATATATGTTTGGATATACACTCGCCATTGTTGTATGTTTTCTGTAAATTTATCGTACTTACAATTCTTTATTTAAAACTTGACAAATAAATATCATAATCATTCTCTGGTTATACCTGTTGAATTCCGCAAAAAGATTGCGCAGTAAATTATGTTAAAAATCTAACGACTATTTTGTCCTAGGGCAATGTAAATAACACCTGAAGTTTAAATTAACTTCAGCGTCTGGAGGATTTTTAAACGGGATTTAAAAACTGACACAATGTATTCGGATCCATATCTCACTATAGATTTGATATTATAATAGAAGAGATGTAACGAGAACGAAAATGAATTTTCAAAAACTTGATTCATTTGACTCATAGGACAATTTCGGTTAGATTTTCAGGGTTGTGTTGAGTTAGATTCTCAAAAATTGATTAAATAAAAATAATATATTTTTTTTACACGTTTGGAAATAATATATCTCTAAATTAAAAATTCAAAATTTAAAAGTCGACAAAACCAGATTATTAAACCTACAAACAAGATTAGATCTCTTGTAATATACTCATCACATTTTAATAAAACGGATGGTAATTACTGAAAACCTGAACAAACAAAAATGAAAAATTTTAGAAGTAATAGTAGTTAACACGAATTTGTGTGGGTGTGTGCATCTTTAAGCGTGTAAAAGTTAATGTAAAACTATAAAAAAGAAGCAAAAAAATCTCAAAAACATACAAATTGAAAAGCAAAAAAAAAAAAAAAAAAGAACCATTCACATGCGTATATGTAAACATATATAAAGTTAAACCGAACGTTCACTAACTTGCAAATAAACTCTGTCAACTCAGTCCATTACTATCCGGAACCACCATCAATTGCACCCACCCATGGATAATATATGTCGCACATTCTCAGATGAAACACGGAAGAACAAGTCAACATTATGGAGGAACTACTATCTTATAGACGTGGTCATAAAAACGAGTACAATAGGTAAGGAAGCGAACAATGTAGCAGATCGGTGTCGACAGGACAAACTATTTCTTTGAATTAAGGGGGGGGAGATCAGGGGAGAGAGAGAGGAGAAATGGTGTCTTGGTCTAACTAGAACACGCTTCTATGTCATTTTTTAGCTTCAAGAGGAGCAGCAGCCGCTCTTCTGGGCAACAGGCTGGCCTCTGATCTGCACCGTCGGTGGCCTTGCGTTGTTCGCCGCTGGCTGGCTTGCCATCCTGTGTTTCCACCCCCCAATAAAATAAAATAATATAAAATAAAATGAGAAAACTATAATTATCATTATGGCCCAAATATCAAATTTCCACAGTTCTGCATCACATCACATACATACATGAGTGAGAGGAGCATTAATAAATTCTTTCGGGGTTTCTACCTTTTTACGCCTGTTTTTCTTTTCATCAACAGACACAAAATTCTACCACATAAATCAGATAAATATGCAGGATAGTCAGACCACAACAGTATGTGTGTCTTGGTCAAAACCCCAGTTATCAAAATCCCATTTTCATATCCAACTTCACACCTTGTACGGTAAAATTCCGCAACTTTTGGAATGGGGTAAAAACAAATACCTCTCCTTGATGGCCGCAGCCATAGCCATGAAAGCCTGTTCCACGTTCGTGGAGTCTTTAGCACTCGTCTCCATAAATGGAATCCCAATCTCGTCCGCAAAAGCCTATAGTTAAGATCAATATGACAGCATTCGAAAGAGAATCTATCCCCACTTCTTAGAGTATGACATTCACCCAACTTCCAGAAAGAGAACTGGTAAAAGAACATACCTTGGCCGTTTCATACGGAACAGCTCTATTTGCAGCAAGATCACACTTGTTCCCAACTAAGAGTTTGTTAACATTATCACTGGCATAACGATCAATTTCATTCAACCATTGCTTCACATTGTTAAAGCTCTCTTGATCCGTGACGTCATAGACAATCTATCAGTGGAGGCCAGGCAAGATTAGTTATAGTTGCGAAAAGAGTCAAAGAAAGTGGTGAGGTGAGATTCAGAATGAGTAACATACGATGATTCCATGTGCCCCACGGTAGTAACTGCTTGTGATAGTCCTGAATCGCTCTTGACCAGCAGTGTCCCACTGAGAGACAAAAAGAGGAAAAATTCTAGTCAGCCTTCACGATACTACATGATAAACAAATATGAGAGAATAGAAGCGTAGTATCAACGGTTGCTGGATGAGAAAACACAGCAGCTTACAAGATTATCACACAATATAGATCAGAAAGGTTGTTAATGCATGATATTTAAACCTCTACTGAGACTAGTATTTGCCAGTAATTGGTTGTAAAAAGCGCGAGGCGTCACGAGGCGCAAAAGGTCTAAAAAACTGAGGCGTGAGGCGCGAGGCGGAGGCGCACGCCTCACGTATGTGAGGCGCCTATCATTTTTATATCAATATATATATATATATATATTATAGTTTAGGTAGTACCGATTATATACTAACTATATCAACATAGATTATATAATTTAGTTAGTATAGTATGCTTATTATATATAAATAATCGATAAATATTATTTATTTTTAAATATCAATAAAATGATAGATAAATATTATTTATTTTGATTAAAAAAAATTACTTTTTAAATATCACCAATGCATATATATATATATATAACGAATCTTATTATTTAATTTGTATAGTATATATATATATATTTTAAAAGAAGAGTCTTAGTGGACGCCACTTATTTCTTAATTTTAATTAAATGATTCCCTCCACGTGCCTTTCTCAAGAAGGCTCTCCCCCACACGCCCACGTTTTCCCCTTCTTCAATTTTCATCATTTTTTTTTCAGAAAATTTGATTTTTCTGTGATTGCACCGCCCCATATCTCAGAGGCGCGCGACTCACGCCTTGTACAGAGCGCACAGAAAGGCGCGCCTAGGACCGCTTCCTGTATTTCGCCTCGCCTCCAAGTCTGGAGGCGATTTTCTTATCGCCTATGCGCCTCCACCGCCTAGGCGCGCCCCAGGCGCGCTTTTTTAAACTATAAATCAGAAAGGTTCAATATCCAAGAGCTAAGGAAAGAAAGTTACATACAATTTGGAGCTTAATGGTCTTCCCATCTTGTTCCACAGTCCGAATTTTCTTCAGAGAGAAGGTAGAAAATCAGATATAAGCCTCAGTATCCATCACAGCAAAAAAGAAACTGTAACCACTTACAAAATCGACCCCAATGGTGCTTATGTAACTTTCTATGTATGAATCATCCTGCATCCATAAGAAAAGAAAAAAGGGATTGTTCAATCAGACATCCACTTAGAAATATCCACATTTTTGCAGAAGAAATATCCACATTATACTCCACAAGAGGGGAACCGAACCAGAAGTGTACATTTACAGTATAAGCATGAACAAATCGTAAATTACTTGCCGAATCGGTTACTGCTCTCTAATTGAAGATCATGATAAACAAACCATCAACGGAATTCTGACTAAATAAGAAAAGAGAAAACTTACAGCGAACCTTAGAAGGAGGCATGATTTCCCGACACCAGAATCCCCGATGAGCAGTAGCTTGAAAAGATAGTCGCTGCAAATCCGACGAAATCCAAAGTTATAAAGTCGTTAAAACAACAAGCACCTTCTCACAACAAGACAGAAGAGGAGATACCAAGCAACGAGAGAATTTCGCGAATTAATAATCGAGCATACTAAATAAAACTACGATCTCGAGCAAAAGACGATATAGCATAGAGCGAGATCAGAAACTGTACGTAGAAGTCAAAATCAAACAGATCACAGAGATACGACTAAATTATTCTCCATCCACGAGCAACAGGACCAAATCGACAGATCTAGAGGCCCTAGATTGCTAGAGCTGGCGAACAAGACCAATTAACCATAATTGTCCAACCTCGGAAGCAGAACAAACATGGAATTGCAAGAAAATCTCGAGACACGGGACAAAGGATATTCGGCTCCAGATGAAACGGAGGCAAATCTTCAGAAATAGCAAGTGTCGGTTGATGTAACGAAGAAAACTTACTACTCTGGATTCATGGCTCCTGCGGTGGAAAGTGGTAGATCGGAGAAAAATCAGCCGGAGAGGTACGGATTCAACAGCGATGCAGAGGCGATATATCTCCTTCGAAGCCTTTTGCGTAGAAACAGTGAAAAGCCGATTTGGCTATGGAAAGCGGAGGAGAAGGCGCGAGCGAGACGACAAGGCGAAATGCTGAATGTCATTGAGATGGGCCATAAATGGGCCTACATAGTCCGTTGGAGAGGCCAGGGTAAAGCCGGATCAAGCCCGACAATCACCTGATTTCAATTTTTTATGTTTTTGTTATTAAAAATTTTAAATTAATTTGTGTATTAATTTAATAGTGACGATTATATTAGTATCATTCATAATGTAATAAATACTTTTCTTAAGCTACGAAAATAAGAGCGAATATTCTTCCGCAGCCAGGAGTAGCGTATTAGGGTTTTCATTTCCAAGTATAAAAGGTCCTATGTCGCTCACGAGTCTTCACCCCATCGCAAGAGCAGTACAGAAGAAGCGCCGACCGAGGGTAAAAAATGGAGCAAACTTTCATCATGATCAAGCCCGATGGCGTCCAGAGGGGCCTTGTACGTATCCATCCTTCTCATCCCCCTCTAGCTTCCCGTGAATTTTCTTTTTTTTTAAAAAAAAATCTGTGGGAATTCTCCACAGACAATTCGAAGTTGATGATTCCGAGTACTTGAAAAATAATTCCGGCTCTTTGTTATGTTGTCAGATCCTTGTGTTAGATTGATCGAACGTGAAACCAGGCTTGTTTGATTGATGTTTAATTTAGGATTTGGTCTGTTTATGTCTGCTTTTGTTTTTGTTTTTGTTTTTGTTTTCAATTTGGAAGGTCATTACCAGATTTGATAATCTCGTATATTTCAGGTTGGCGAGATCATCAGCAGATTTGAGAAGAAGGGTTTTACTTTGAAGGGTAATTTTCTTTTTGTGTGTATAAACCCCATACAACATTGAATTGCGGTCTTGTAAGCTACTTGCTGTTCTATTGAATGTCAATGACGGTAGGAAGGGTTAGGATATATGTTATGGATTGTGCAGATTTTGCCTTTCTATTTTTCCGGCTTGTCTTTCCCATCTCTTTCACGATCATTTTCAGCCTACCATTTTGTTTTCTCTAACAATCCTAGTTTTCTGTCGGATCCTTTCTCTTTCAGTTTACTGCATCATGTTTTTTTTGTCAATCACCACTTTGGTTAGCTCATCTGTAGTTTTCTTTTTTGATGTATTGCCTACCTCTCTTTCGCTCTTTTAATATTATGTTTTATGGTTTTCTCTTCCATTTTTTCATTTGGATGTGGTTTCTATTGCTGTAAATGCTCACTTAGAGGAATGCGAACACACTTTTTTATCAGAGAAGGCTCTTAGTGCTTATTGTCATTTGGTTATTGAGCATGTTGTTAGCTGTGGGCCATCCTTTCCCTTCAATTTGATTCCTATTCCATTAGCTATTCTCTAGTAGCTATTTTTGTCGATCATCCTTTTTGAGTGGTTCCGGTTGCAATGACAGGTTTGAAGCTGGTAACTGTGGACCGCCCTTTTGCTGAGAGGCACTACCAGGACTTGTCTGCAAAGCCATTCTTCAGTGGTCTTGTCGACTACATTATCTCTGGCCCTGTCGTTGCCATGATCTGGGAGGGGAAGAATGTTGTCGTTACGGGTAGAAAGATAATTGGAGCCACAAACCCAGCAGCATCTGAGCCTGGAACAATCCGTGGCGATTTTGCAATTGACATTGGCAGGTAAATATTCGAAACTGCAACAAGTAGACCATGTGTTTTTTAAGAAGAGTTGGGGAGTGAAAAGAGAGGAGTTTTCTCTGGTTGCAGGAACGTGATCCATGGCAGTGACGCGGTGGAGAGTGCTAACAAGGAAATCGCACTGTGGTTCCCAGATGGACCTGTCAACTGGCAGAGCAGCCTTCACTCTTGGATCTACGAGTGAAAAACCTCTTGGGTTTTAGCCGACAATGCTGTTTTATCTCCCTATTCTAAGATTCGAGTTGTGTGTGTGTTTTGAAGAGTTTGTCACTGAGTATTCCTCCAGACCGATTTTGTGTTCTACTTTGGTTTTAAACCCTTAGTAAACATGTGTTGCTGCCGAGATTCCTTGGTTTTCTCTTCTGTTCGTTTGGTGCAGAAACTCGTGTGTTGTGCTTCCAGTCCAAGATCAGGGTGAATATGGAAATCCGAATTTTGGAGTATTCGATTTGAGTTGGATATCCGCAATTTTGGATATTTGTTTTGTCGGCAAAAACCTCATCTTTGGGTCCAGATTCGGATTTCCACGGAGGAATCTCTGTATCTGTTGGTAATCTAAGCCAAGAGACAGTGAGGGTGAGGCGAGATGGGAGAAGGTTGAGGGCGGGCGGTAGCGTTGTGGCTGAGCTGAGGTTTAGGGTTAACTTTAGTGGCATCTTTAGAATCAGAAATTTAGGGGGGTTTTAACCATAGGCTTAGGGCGGGGTGGTCAATTTAGTTATTAATTCAACAGTCGAACCGAACTGAATAAGATATAATTATTCGAAATTCGAAATGAACGGAATAATATATAACAACTACATGGTTATTGGTTATAACCTTTGTAAATCTAAAACTGAAAAACCGAACCGAATTAATTTAAAAAATAAAAATAAAATTAAAAATTTCTTTAAGAAATGAATTATATTTTATATATAAATAGAATGGTTATGTATAACCGAAATAACTGAACCAAATCCTAAACGACTAAATGACCACCCTAGCCAGATCCTTAGACAAGTGCATCCTGTCATCCTTAGACAAGTGCATCCTGTCTTTCTCTGTTCGAATTCTCTCTTCCAAGTTTCTAAAAGAAATGATATCCTTGCAACGACACATGCTAACACAAAAAACAGGACTACTTGTTGTGGATTGTACGATTTGGCTTCCTTCCACACATGCATGACGGCGTCTCCAGCTGGTCGCCCAACACTGTGCGCTCTTATTTCTGTTATGCTTCCGGTTCTAACGCCATGATTATGCGAAGTGGGATATGAACTCAGCCGCTACAATTTGGTATATGTATATTGTCGGGCTGATGCCTATTAACTAGCAACAGAAATACACATTGATGCTTCGGCTCCTACCATGTGGTTTGGGGGTTAGTTAGGAATTTTACCGCAGGAAGTGGACAAAGGGCGTTGCTGGCACAGCCAGACAACCTTCATTCCACAGCTCCAACCGGAGCCAAAAGGGTAAGGATCAAATCCATAAATCTCAATACGACGGGCTGATTTTACTCCACCCATTCGCAATTCTTCCACACCTCACGTTCAACGACAAAAAGGAAGGAAGTCATAGTTCACTCAGAAATGAAATGAAATGAACCAGAAACATAAGCGCATTACATTGCAGAAAAGCAACAAACTCTAAAATTACTACTCGAAGACCACCAGGAGACAAACCTCACGCAAGCCATCAGGACCTGTAAGAACCCATCTCATATCCGACACTGATTCATAGTTCTAAATGGGCTTGATCTTGAAGTGGAGCGAGATGAGCGAAAACACGAGACATTTCAAGTCCTGCAGTCACATAAGACTCCCTTATCAGAACCATAATAAAAAAGGAAATATCGAGCAGCATTCAATAAAAACAGAAATACCAGAGCAGTATCAACAGTCAAGTCAATAAGAACAGTCCCCAGAAATTCAACACCAGAAACTCGGCGTAATACTGACAGCCGAAATCAGATTATATGTGACACCAATTTACCTTCCCTCTACCAGGAAATGGGCTATATCATCAGGCAGAGGCTGACTATACCTACTTAGTTCATCAGTTTGAGAACAAAATTTCACGGCAAAAAGCCTAACCTGATGCAGAACCATACTATTCGGCTGAAAAGTAGAGATGGGTAAGACAGGAAAACTTTGCAAAATTTTCTCTCTGACATGAAAGACCTTCACTTATTGCAGAAAATTGTGCACATGAATGAAGTTAACAAGGAAAAAAAGGGTTGCGTATAATGGCTGACCTGAACAAGATAGTAGAAGATGCGAAGTCCCTCGGGATCATTACTGCTCTGGACATCAACGAGGGATCCAATCTTTGAGGTAGTGAAGGAGATATGCTCATTTCCCATCACTATCTCCAGCTCTTGCCTCCCCACACGGTCAGGCTCCGGCCAGTTGTTATCGTCCTCTTTCATAATCTACAAAAGTTATATATATTATCATAGCCGGAAAGACGGCAATTCCAAACTCTTGCACGAATTTAACAGGCAAACTACAAAAAACCAGCTACGGAGGAAAAATTAGACCCACAAATAAGTGAAGCCGTATGGATATATAGTGTGGAAGTGATTAGAAAGCGATTTAACTTCATCTGTTCATAGCAGAAACAAGGCCAAAGAAGAAACACGTTGGACTACCCACCCCAGAAGAACAAAGAGTTTATCACAAACCTCTTCATGCTTAAGCCAATATCTGTAAATCTAGACAGAAAAGCCTCAGAGAAACCCTAATCTGAGCAAACAGCAGCAAAACAATCTCGAAAACCCTAATGGAGATTGTGAACAAAGTTGAAGGGGCAAATCACAAGGGTAGTGGGAATTAAGCAAACACTAAGAAAAACAAAAAAAAACAAAAAGAGGAGAAGAAGACCTCGCTGTCGGAGACGATACGCTTGCACTCCTTGAGAACGGCGGGGGTGAGAAAGACCTCCTTACGGATCATGGTGTCGTTCTTGTAGTTTGAGTTATTAGCGTAACGGAGCTTGCCGTCTGGTCTGAATTCGAATTCCAGAAACTCGTGTCCGAACTTCCCCTTGTGGCCGACATAGTACCTCAGGTAGAACTCTTCTTCCGCAGCCATCGTCTCCCTTCCGCTTTGATCTCGGTTTCTCTCTTTTAAACTTAAATAGAGCATAAGGCCCATTAAATTGGGCCCGTATTTTATTATCCAGAATGCTGCGGCCCATTAGTAGTCTTTCGGTTCATCTCAGACGGTAATATGTGGGAGTTTCGGTTTAGGTCAGGGATTTGTCGGATTCGGTTTAGAAACTGTTTATTTGTTTTTATAAAAACCGTATTAGATTAGAATCGAATGCTAATCGGTTCGGTTCAATCCAGTTTTAATATGTGTTTGGCTCATAAAGGTTTTTGTTATATGAAAAGCAAAAACCAATACTTTGATATTGAACAAAAATGTGTACATTAAGGGTGGATAATTGGGGTTTTATTTATCTCAGTATTTATCGGATTCGGTTTGTAAACGACTTAGTCATTCCTGTAAAATGTTATACCAAATTAGAACCAAATGTTAATAATTCCATTCGGTTTGGTACTAGCTCTACTCATACCATATATATTAATATCGAAAGAGAGCTTCAATATGCAGGTTATATATATATATATATATATAAAAGATTAGATTCTTATATATGATTTAATCTTAATAATAATATTTTGTTTATATGCAACTTCCATTGTAAAAAAAAAGGGTGGATTGGGCATCTGCAAAACACATGATTCGAGTTTTGTCGAAATGAATATCTGTTGGGATCGTCCCAATGCGTTGGGATGAGAGCAGAAGCCCGCATATAAATTGGTGGATGGATATTCATTATTCAGCACACAAAAAAAAAAACTACAATGGATCATATATATATAGCAATATGCCAATAGCATATCCTCTTATTAAATCATTGATATATATATATATATATATATATATA